AGTCACGAAGGTCACCGTGTGTCGAGTGGTGTTCTCTTCCTCCACAGTCAGAATTTCAGGCGCTGACACATCCTGAGGCACCTTACTGGCGGACGCTTTCCGACTCCTCCTGTGCTTCAGCGGCTCTTCATCCTCATCATCATCAGGAAGATCGATAACAGTGTTGGGTGGAGCTGCGGAGAAGGGTCAGGATCAGAGATCGCGAGTCAGTCGACTAAGAATGGTATTAAGAACACAGTACCTGGATTCGAAGTTGCTGCATCCTCCATCTCGTGGTCATCGGCCCGGGCCGAGGTCTCAGAAGTAGCAGCACTGCAACTCCAAAGGATCAGTCGACTAACCTCAGCGTCGACCAGAGATAAGGTTCGCACAGAATAAGAAAATATGAGCAACACAATTACCCTGATATGGTGGGGATGGACACCTTCATCTTCGGCAGGAGCTTGGTCGGCTTCGATGAGGCCGCCCTGGGCTGTTTCGGCGCCTTTTCAGTCGGCGCCGGAGAGGTGGTCCGAGGGCGCTTGGTCGACTGAGTGGCAGTCGCAACCTCCTTACCACGTTCGGTCGAAGGGTCGTGGACAAGCTTCGACCGCCTTTCTGAGCGCGGTGGAACGACCTCCTCCTCCTCTTCTTCCTCGTCCTCGATGTCATCCTCATCACCTTCATCATCATCATCGTCGTCATCATCCCCTGCAGCATCCGAGTCCCATTCCTCCTCTTCCTGGCTCTCGCCCCCGCTCGCCTCGCCTCCGCTCGCCTCGCCTTCCTCAGTCGGAGCTTGTGCCCCATTGGGCATCGAGTACAGTTCGGTGAAGGCCTAGCAGATGCCCAAACAAAGATCAGTCGACCAGTCGGCAGGGTTAGTAGAAATGAATACAACAAGGACACAATGGAAAGCAGAGCAAGCGTACCTTGTTTGGGACGCTGTTGTGGTCGAGTGGAGGAATCCTTCTGGCTCCGCGCGGGTTGTCCCTGTTTCCGGTAACGGCTACCATCCATCTTTCCAGAGTGACATCGTCGACTTCTTCTGGATGGACTCTAGTCTCGTCTTCGGGCCCACAGTACAACCACATGCAGTGGCTCCGGAATTGAAGGGGCTGGATGCGACGCTTGAGGAAAACCTCCAAGAGGTCCATGCCTGTCACACCCTCCCGAACCAGCTGCACCACGCGCTCCATCAACATCTTCACGTCGGCTTTCTCCTCCGGAATCAGCTTCAGAGGGGAGGGCTTGTTCACTCGGTCCATGGTAAACGGAGGGAGTCCACTCGACTGCCCTGGCGTCGACTGGACCTGGCAGTAGAACCAAGTCGACTGCCAGCCTCTGACGGACTCAGGAAAGGACATGGGCGGGAAGGTGCTATTATTCCTCACCTGAATCCCCAGGCCCCCACACATTTGGACGACCCGGGTCTTCTCGTCACCTGGGCTCGCCTTCTTCACGGTCTGAGAGCGACACGTGAAGATACGTTTGAACAAACCCCAGTGCGGTCGACAGCCCAAGAAACCCTCACACATGGACACGAATGCAGCAAGGTAGGCAATGGAGTTTGGGGTAAAGTGGTGGAGCTGCGCCCCAAAGAAATTCAAGAAGCCACGGAAGAAAATGCTTGGCGGCAAGGAAAACCCACGATCAACATGAGTGGCCAGAAGCACACACTCACCCTCTTCTGGTTGTGGCTGCCACTCCTTCCCCGGCAACCTCGCAGCTCCGTGAGGGATCAAGCCCTCGTTGGCCATGTCGAGGAGGTCCTTCTCCGTGATGGTCGACTGGATCCAGTCTCCTTGGACCCAGCCCTTTGGCAGGCGGGATCTGGACGAGGACCCTCTGCGGCTGGTGGATCTCCCCTTCGCCTTCTCCGATGCCGACGCCTTCTTGGCACGCTCCAGCGCCGCCGTCTTCTCCTTGGCCATGGTCGCCGGTGAGATGCACGAAGGGAAGTGGTGCGGGGGCGAGAGCAAGCGCGCTGAGCAGAGAGGAAGGAAGCAGAGGGAGAGAGGGAGAATGCTGGGGCGCAGCACAGAAATCCTCGCCGGGCACATTTATAAGGTCCCTTCCGAGTGGCTGACATGTGGGCCCGGTCGATCTAATCATATCTGGGAGCAGTTATGAGGACTGGATACGTGGCGAAAAAGGCGGCGCGGAGATCGAGGCGTCTATGCCCCGTCCCATCCGAACGCCGTGGTTTGCCCCGCTTCGCGCGCGCCCCCAAATTTCGCACCCCGCGGAATCCGCGAGCAACAAATCAGTCTGTCAGACGCGGTGTTTCCGGCGATCCGTCGCTCGGAGATTGTCGAAGCTCGAAAGATCACTCGACGCAAAAATAGAATGGATCGAGTCGACCGAAGACAAATTGCTCCCTGTCAACGAAGAGATTCTTTGATCTAGAACAGCGCACAACTAGAGCGCAAAGGTTAATCGGAAACGACATCAACTCCTTCTTCACTCGAAGCCTCAATCCATTCGGGGGCTAATGATGGGGTTATGTACCTAGGGTAGGGTCATGGACCTGTTCCAAGTAACTTACCCTAGGACATCCCTAGAAGAGGTCGCCTTCCAGTCGACCAACGAGGATTCACTCGACTGGCCTGAAGGACTCGACCACGAAGACTCACTCGACCACCAGGAGGTCAAGAGGCACTCTGCACCGCAACGGCCTGTAATTAAGTAGACTTTATGATAGTAAAGGCACTTTATGTGGGGCGTTACCAGTAACGCCCCAGACTTAACTCACCTTAAACCCTCTCCTACGTGGGCTGGCTGGGGTCCTGGCGCACTCTATATAAGCCACCCCCCTCCACAGGCAGAGGGGTTCGGCACCTTGTAATCCATACATTCATAATCCACTCGACCGCCTCCGGGCTCCGAGACGTAGGGCTGTTACTTCTTCCGAGAAGGGCCTGAACTTATACATCCTTTGTGCTTACAACCTCTCCATAGCTAGGACCTTGCCTCTCCATACCTACCCCCCACTCTACTGTCAGGCTTAGAATCACGACACATATATCTCCCTGTATTCCATGCTCAAGATAGTTAACCTGTCAGATCTCTGCATATAATTACAGTCGGTTTGTATCTGGTGGTAAGTGGTAGCAGTGATCTACACAATATTTCTAATAAACTTGTATCGTCTATCTTTCTCCTCTAGGTGTAGATTTGCTTACCATGAGCCCTCTTCTTCAGCGCAAGTCGCCATGTGGAGCCCAGTAGTGAAAGACCTGAGGACGCCTAGCTGTTTTGTTGGAAATGCCTGTACATGTACATCACATACGGTCAGCAATTCAAGACCAGTGTGCTGTGTGCACTGTCTGCAGTGATTAGTGGTGATTACTACTGCCCTGGTAGAATATGGTACTGCCAGTCTGCCACTTTGCCAAACAGTAGGAAAACGTACAGCTAAGAATAGCAAGCAGATGCAGATTCTATTGTTTGGCCAGGGGACACGGAAAATCACAGTAAAGATAAGGAGTAGTTTCCCTGTTTCCTACTTGTATGCTTCTGGTTCATGAAGATAAAGATTCATTCTAGGTCTAAGATCTCTTTGGAGCTACTCATCTTCATTATGTGAAATGCCGCATTATCTACATTTTACATGTATTTTTTGACTAATATTTTATGTTGGTATATACTCCCTTCATCCGAAAATAAGTGCCGTGTCAAATTTGGACCAAAACCACAACACTTATTTTGGGACGGAGGAAGTACCACATCATTCATCATTCCGGTTGATTATTAGTTATGACTGTCCCAGGACCCTCTTCATTTTGATACTGCATCTGGCTAATTCCTCCCTTACTCCATTCTTGATATTCTCCCTTTACATGTCAACCGACATGTGTGTTAAGGGCCCCCGTAATAATTCTATGTTGTCCTGCTGTCATAATTATAAATAAGCAAATGAAACAGTTGATGGGAGGAAATTGGCATGCTAGTTGGTCAAAGGACAGCTAGTGAGGGTGTCAGGATATTCAAGCTGGGTGCCTGCCTGGTAATCCCAACAGCTGGCAAGTGACTGCCATGATTGATCCTTGAAATTTAGAGCAACTTCTGATCCTCTCATACACTACATTTCAGCTGGCAAGTGACTCTAGAGTTTTCTTCCCACGGACAGGTTGGTCGTCTCATGATCTTGCAGCGTTCTGATGGCCTTGTGCACTTTTTTCCCTGGCAATGAGATTCTAGGGGCCGAAATAAATTGGAACTAGGTAAAAAAGGCCCTCTCTGATTTATGTATCTGAACTAATTTTGTCCATCCTCTTGGGCTAACAAGCCAAAATAATGGAACATAAAGAGGACAAATCATGTTGTGGCCATTCAAATCTTTCTCAGTGAATGCATGTTTTTTTATATCCTGTGTTATAAATGGCTTGCCAGTGATATCTTAAGATGTTTGCATTGCTAATGATGCCACAGCCTACATTGTATAGTATAGTTGTATCTTTGGAGGACTTCCTTTTCAGTTAATTATGCATAAAACAATACTTCTTCAGTACTGTATCCCCAACACATCTATCATTACTTGCTTCAAACCTGCTAGAAAGCTTTGTTCTATTGTCGACACACAAAAAAAATAATCATATTTGTACAGCTTGTTGTAATGTCTTTTTCAGTACTGATTACTTAACGGGCCTCCAGATCTGTACCTATTCTTTTTGGGGTACCAGCTCATTTCGTTTCTGTGGAAAGATTAAAGTTGTTCAGAGTTTTCTTCTTTTAGACATAAAAAAGTTTTGCCCCTATTACCTATTCTTTAGACAAATGATAAATCAACTTACGGTTCTCTTGCTTGTATGCACACAGACGTCTTCGAACCAGGTAGAGATATTTTGACTCGGATATAACAAGGTTTACATGCGTACAAGGCAATAACATAATTGTCTTTGGAATGCACTTGATCTCGATTGGAAAAACTCAAAAGAACCACACAGCAGAAAGACATACTGCTCTGGTGCAAATGCAAAAGGGCTCGTTATTCATCTCTGGATATCCTCAAGGACTGACTAATACTCCGAGTCTTCATCATCCACTGACCCGGCACTCTGTGACGTCTTGTCGTGATCGTTCTCGAGCTGGCTGAAATTGCCCTTCTCTTTGATCAGCTGGGTGTGGTGGTGCTTGCAGAAGAGCTTGCCCTCATGCGCGATGTAATTCGAAGGGCTGATGGTGCACCCTCCATGGCAGCATTTGAAGCAGCTCTTGTGGTACATGGTGTTGTTCACAGTAACCTGCAGAGTTGGTGCGGGTGTCATGATCAGAGCACTGTCATGTATGCAAACCGAAGAGGTATGATATGAACAATACGTCCGTGTCGCCTTGTCTTGTCATAGAAAAAGAAGATGAATAATTGAATGCCCAACTTGGAAATGCAGCAGATGAATATGAATCCAGCCACATGTTGTTAAGTAAAGGAAACTCCAGCTAAAAAGTAGCAGTCCAGAGGATAATAATGCAGATATAGTACTTAATTGAGACATAATAAGAGTAGAAAATAATAGTACCCTCTCAATTGGATAGACTGTCTTGGTGCATCCAAAACATTTCTCTCTGGTGCCAGCAAATGCGCTCGAGACTTTAATAGCATTCTGCCAAGAAAACACTCATGATAAGCATCACCAAATGTGGTACTAGCTCACAAAGAACAAATGATCAATAATGCCGATTAGTCGCACTATTTTGTCGATATTCTGCCTATCAGTTTGCAAAACGTCATTTTCTATTGAACTAAGCTCCCTATCTGCTCGGATCCGGTGTTGCACTCTCTTCCTTCTTAATGGAGCTCTCTTGCATGGTTGGAAAAGAAAAGAAAAATCTATGTACGTTTTGGACCATCTTGGGTGTGTGTGTTTTGGATCATCTTTGGAAAAACAATACTACCAATGATCTACGTACTACACTCTGCAGAGAATATATAAATGTTAGAGGAGATTAGTGGATGGATACCTCATTCCCAACATTCCTTTCCGGCTTGACAACCTTTGGAGTGCCTGAATCAACATTCCTCCATTACTTTCTGAAGAATTGCAAAGGAATGCAGAGACGACAACATGTGCTAAGCTAAGGGCGTACCTTCGAAGCTCTTGTCGAGGCTCCCGGTCCTCTTGAAGAGCTGGTCAAAGTGAGGCCTGCAGTAGAGCACTCCTTCGAACGAGTTGTAATTCGCGAGCTGTGTCACAGAAACATAGAACAAGTTGAAGAACAAGTGAAGGACTGGGGAAGGAGGAGTGGGGAAGGGGGGAGGCGGAAGACCTTGAGGGTGCCCTTGCAGTGGTGGCACCTGAAGCAGGCCTTGTGGTAGACCCGGTTGTCGGCGGTGAGCTTGTCGACGAGGTACACCGTCTTGTCGCAGGCGTTGCACTTGGTGGTCGTCCCCTGGAACGAAGTCGCCATTGCCTCTCACTCCCTCACTCTCGATCTGCAAGCCGAGCTGCTCTGATGGATGGTGAGGCGTTCTTCCAACACAAGACTGGCTTGGCTTCGCTCCCGACAAGCCTGGGGGCGGGTGATGATTATATGGTGGTAAATGGCGTGGCGCGGTTGGTGGTGGGCTGCAGCTGCAGGTATTGCTGCTATTGCTGTTGCTGCCGCGAGGCGGAGGCGGGGCAGGACAGCTTGGGCGAGAGAGGGAATAATGTTGGGGGTGGCAGGGCAGAGCCAGAACGAGTAGTACTCCCTCCATTCTACAATGCAGTGCTTTCTTTATTCTCATGCTTTAACTTTGATCATAAATTTAACTACCAAGACCGATTGCGGCGGAAGCAAAAATATATCAGTGAATTCATATTCAAAAGAAGTTTTCAATTATATAATTTTTTCTTCCGCCGCAGTTGGTTTTGTTGGTTAAATTTATGGTCAAAGTGAGACCTCGAAAAATACAGGCGCACTATATTTTGAAATGAAGGGAGTAGTAGTCAAGTGGGAATTGCAGCGGCTTAAGGAAACCAAAAAGGAGGCGGTGGTTGCGGAAATTTGCGGAGGGGCTAAGCAAAATCCGCAACAAATGTATACGTACCATGACGGTGGTGACTGGTGGTGACGTGGCAGGGAGAGGATGCATTCCGGGTGAAAGGTACTGCAAATGGCAGCTGATTTCCATTCTTGGGGATTTGAGGGGGCTAAAAAGCCACGGTAGTTTATATTCTTCACATGCGCTCTCTCTCTCTCTCGTTAAGCGTGGTAATCTTTGAGGGTCCCTGATTGAAACGTGCTGCCAGCACACCGTATGCACTGGATGAACCAAAGCAGTAAAGCTCATTCGGTGGGTCTGCTGTCTGTCTGCAGGCAGCCTTGGTTCCAATAGACAATGTAAAAGTGGTGTCCAAAAATGATGGGAGAAGGTTTTTGGACACCTGGTTTGTTTTTATTCCGTAACTGATACTCTGAACTTTCAAACATAACCAAGATTAATTGCATATTTCATAATTTCTAGCTCTAATACAAAAGGTTCAGCATTATGCATTAAAACGACATCACACTAGATAATTAAACAGTCCCACGGTAAATCATCACACTACTCATCGTCACTCCTACAAGTTGATGTCGATTGCCCCTCCGGCCGAGGGGCCTATCTCGTGGTCATTGCTTGTAGAAGGCTTCACCTCCTCCTCCTCCTCCTCATCGAAACAACCTTCCTTGTCAATTTGGTCGAACAACTCATGGACATCACCTTCTATACCGTGTCGGTGCTCCTTGTCCTCCTTCACGCGCTCCGCGTCCCTCTTGGCATAGAATGCAACCTTTGCCACCACGGGTTCTGGATTAGCCTGGGCCAGCTTTGTCATGTGCAGCTAATAAGTGGCCTCGGCCCTGCGCTGTGCCTTCTCCGCACTAGACCATGGAAGGGGCGAGGAATCTGTATGGTCAGCCACCTCAGGGAAATTGAGCTCGGCCAAGCTCCGACCGCATCGAACCACCACTGCATCGTACGCGAGTGCCGCGAGCTCCTCGGTCTCGAAGGTGCCGACCCACTTCCACTCCCCCTCGCAGGTGATCTTGGTGGTGAAGTGGACCGACATCGGACGACGAACACCATAGTACGGCATGGCGCTCACGACGGCTAGTGCGACAACATCTTTGACGGGAGGAAACGGAGAAGCCTGGTGGCGATGGACAAAACGACCGGCGGAGAAGCTGGACTGCGGTGGACGAAACGAGCGCCGACGGCAGCAATGGATGAAACAGACACCCCACGACCGAAATGGACATATCCAGTGGTGGGCATGGTGGATCTGGCGACTATGGGCAACAACATGCGATGGTGGCGACCGAATTCGGCGGCGGTGCCATCGGGCGACGAAGCGGTTGAGGGTTGGGAAACTTTTGCTGGAAGACCGAGGGTGCGTGCGACTGAATCTTGGTTTTGAGGCGGTCCCACAGGTGCTACGGATTTGCAACACTTGGAGCTAAAATTTAAGGCCGCTACAATTTCTTTTACACTAAATAAAGATACATCATCTATTGAAACAATATTTTGACTTTAAATGCCCCAAGCGGTAATTTGTTTGGACATGACCGTTGTTTTAGGCTGGTCACAATGGGCAAGAACATAAGCTAGTAACTTCACACTTTTCTAGACTATGTTACTACCTCCATAGTGGGTAGGAACATCTATGTAGTGTCATGCAATGATGTATTTATTAGGTTATAGACTCATTGTTTCTTGGAGTGTGTGATGTTCCGGTAACTTAGCTAGTTACCACAAACACCTCTCTCTTCATTAAATACGTGCCACATAAGCAAAATTGTATTGGAGTGTGTGATGTTACTCCTAAGTTCTTCCCCACTGTGACCAGCCTTACGTCATCTATTAAAGATGCTTTTATTTCCGGCATGCGGTTGCTTCTCGTGCAAGTGGAACCAAGTCATTTTGGCAACTATTTTTAGGTTGCTTCTTTGTTAAAGTACTCACAGAAAAAAAAAGTGCTAACAGAGAAACCAAAGTGTCATTTTCTTTTGTGTAAATCCTATTTCAAGTCTGTGCGCACTCCCTTCAACCTAAAAATAAATAAATGGTGAGTGCACTCTGCACAATTTGCCACAAGTGTTTCCCAGACTAGAATTCCGAAGAGTTAGATTACTCAACCGATACATCAGAAAAGCAAGACTGCATTTCACTTTTACTTTTCTTCATGTAATCTCAAGTTTTATGTTTAATGTTTCTGCAAACCGTACAGCTGGCTAAAATCAATACCTTCTTATTTGTACATTTTCTCATACAAAATACCATTTTACTTTCTCCGTTTCTAAATATTTGTCTTTCTAGATATTTCAACAAATGACTACATATGAAGCAAAATGAGTGAATCTACACTCTAAAATATGTTTATATACATTCATATGTGGTAGTCCATTTCAAATCTATAAAAAGATAAATATTTAGAAACGAAGAAAGTAGCACTTTAAAATATAGGGCCGGCTCCCTGAAGCTCATCTTTCAAAGTAAATGTAGAATATGTGAATTGCACCATGTATTGCTCTTCGTGCATAGGCACATATATATGGTGTACAAAGGTGGATCACAGACCTCAACTATACAAGGAACTAGGAGGCGGGCCCAATACACAATATGC